ACAGGGTCTCTCACTGAATTGGAATTTCACTTTTGGGGTTAGTCTGTCTGGTCAGCAAGCTCCCAGGTGTCTCCATGGCACCAATGCTGGCGTTACAGGCATGTGCAGCCATGCTACAATTTTATGTTGGTTCTGGGGATTTGAGCTTGGGCAAACACTCTCACCCACTGATCAATTCTCCAATCCCTGCCATGAACATTCTGAATGGAGAAATCAGCTTTCAAGACTACAGGAAATCACAGGTTCATCCTGTGATACTTGAGCATGAGTGCACCATTTTATGAAACCCATGTCCTACTCCAGAAGCCTCATCAGGGTGGTTAAGTCCATTTTCTCTTTTCAGGGCTAGGACAATATTCTGAGTTTGTGAGCTTGGCAAGGAAGATGTATTTTCACCCTCCCAAGCAAGAGGAATGGATGACTCAGAGCCAGGGATTTGTAATTCAGACTGAGAACTCCAGCAAAGCAAGATGGCAAAGCAATGTAAGATGAAGTAGGACTTCCTCGCCCTGTCAATCTGCAGAACCAAAAATCTTTTGCTGGGGCTGCTCGAGTCTTCCTCTGCATGTGCAAATCCTGTCTTTTCTCTGAGCTCAACAATTGCTTCCCTCACAAAGACTTTCCTGTCACTGGGTAGATACCACTTCCTGCTTTATATACACACATCTGCACAGGTGTGGTAAACTGGTATGTGCTGCCTACATTTATAGACATCGCTTTGGGCGCCAGAAGTTAGAAATAGCACTATGTGCCCAAACCATCATCCAATCCACTTGCTCTAAATAGCTGCCATTCTGTCCATGCCCATGCTCCTCCATGAATGATAATAACTCCTGGTGTATACTGGCCCTGGACAACCTGTCAGGTATTATTCTTAATAATTATTCTTATTAATAACTTAATACTTCTCACAATCTTACATGGTAATAATTGGAATTATTTTTTACATAAGAAAACCTAGAAATTGAGATGTTGAGTTGACCAGATTCATGTAAGAATAGGTGACAAATGTTGAGTTGACCAGATTCATAAGAGTGGGTGACAAAGGCAGTCTTAAGAGTTCATGAAACCTTTTGCTTCAGCTAAGCCACTGTAGTGATCTCCAACTTCCTCTCCTGGTCTATCCACATCCCTGTCCCATGCATTCTTTATCTTGAAGAAGCCCTATCCAACTCTACACAGCCTATACCAGCCTGCACTGTCGTATATTGTAGTATCCTTCTCAACTTTTGGTTTCTAATTACCGTTGCTTTTCATTCTTTCTCACCCCAGGACATTTTCATGGGCCATTTCCTCCATCTAAATCCAACCTGACTATGGATTTCAATTTACCCTGAGGATCATTCTTTAAATATCACAATGTGCTCAACTGGAGAAAACCTTCCTTCTATACACAGTTCAGTGCTGACAGGCCACATGAGGTCTGGTTAACCCCTCGCTGGATTACAGACCTCACTGAGGCCATTTTCATATTTCATTCGTTTGTTTATCTTCCGTGATGAGCCCAGTTTTTAGTTCAAGATTCATTCCATGTTTATTATCATGAGTTTGGTTTCTTGGCTAAAATGTAATTTTTAAAAAATTATATGTGGTGTGTGGAGAGGGGTGCGTGTGTGCGCGCGTGCGTGTGCATGAGCAGTGGTGTGTGTGCATTAGTGAGCAATGGGTGCCCTTGAAAGCCAGAAGAGGGCATCGGGTCCCCTAGAACTAGAGATATAGATGGTTGTGAGCAGCCATTTGGGTGGCTATAGAGGCCTCAAATTTGAGACCTCCAGAAGAGCAGCCAGGCTCTTAATCCCTAAAGTGTAAGTTTTAAATCCAGAGCTTGTTCCCTACAGGGGCAGACTGTTAAAGGAGACAGAACATGGTCTTTGGTCCACGTTGCAAAATTTGACTATACCACCACATCCGTGGATGCGCAGTTTCTTTAACCAGCTTCTTCACTGCAGTGGGAATAACACTGTGAAGATTCAGAAATTCTGGCGATAAGGTTCTTGTGGCCTAGCAGCTGAGAACCCTGAGATCTTTCTTAGGTACAGCTTTGTGTCATGATGCATGAATAGCTTACACGACCACAAAAAAAAATAATAATAATAAAAATGCACAGCTGAGGCCCAGCAACTGTGCCCCTTCCCACAAGGTTTGCCCCAGGCCTCAGCTTCCTTCTCCACCACCTAGCTGCACGGATGCCACCATATGGAAAAACACTAAAGTGCCATGATGAGCAAGAGTCTTGGGGTTTACTAGGGGCAGAGGAAAGGAAGAAGCCAGAATGACTGCAGTATCAACTAAGTGCAGACATTTTCACAACTCAGCTCTTTCTGTGTCTGATTCTACAAAGGAGGAAGTGGAGGCCTGGGAGAGGTTCGAGGTCTCCTTCATAGTCTCACAGCAGGTAACAAGTGAACATTCCTACCCAGGGCTTCATTTCTACACAAAATTTGCTTCTGAAACCCAGGGCACTCTCTGCAAGTGAGCCCACTTCTTTGCTCTAGTTTCTGTGGAAGTTCCGATCTTGATGATTCTTTGGAGTCAACTTGACCCTGACATATGTGGGAAGAGCTAAGTAACAGTAATATTTGAGCACACCGTGTTTCAAGATTAATGAGACATTTGAAAATGAATTATACATTTTGGAGTCTTTATTTAAAAAAAAAAAGCTGCATCCTTCTTGAACGTAAAAATTAACTCTGAATTCTAAGTAATGCCAAAATGTTGGCTACAGAGGGTTTTTTGTTTTGTTTTGCTTTGATTTTTTTTTCATTAATTCATTTTTTTAATGTGCTCTACTTGGATGAATTAAAAACAGTCATTAACATTCTTTAGTCCTAAATCAAGTGACATGAAATGAGGGGTTAGATCTAGAAGGAAAACAAAAGACAAGGAAAAGTGTCCCTTCTCTGAGATGTTGCCCCAGACCCAGGTCTGGAGCAAGATGAGGTTTAGACATTTCACACGAAGGACCTCTCAGAATATGATTCTTCGCCTGGGTCTCCAGAGAGGCCGGTGACACTGCTACCCCAGGCCTGTGCATTTGGGTTCTCTGAGGATGTCTGGAAGCCAGAATTTTCACAATTGCTTCTAGATAGCCCCGAATCCATCCCAAGCTATGTCCTGCCATCAGCTTAAAGAGCTCAGTAAAAATAAGAGGCATCTAACACTCCCAAATATTAACTTACTGCAAGGACATACTAGTTTTCATGTACCTTAAAATGTTTAAATAATAAGTGTGTAAACGAGCAGTTTATCTTAGCCACCCTAAATGTGAGGCATTCCCTACTTCAACGTCAGGGAACTCAAATACTGAAAAGCCCAGGAAGGAGTAATATAGTGTCTGTACCAAGGAGGAGAGCAGTAACAATCCACCAACAAAGGAGGGGTGTGTGAACCTTGACTGGCTCACCTCCGTGGCCAATTCCGAGTTAATCTGCCATGTGGGACTAGCACACTCTGCAAACTGAGAGTCTCAGCGTGCTCCAAGAGGAAAAGGGACTCTGACTCAGCCACTAATTACATGTTCAGGACACTCTTATTCTTCTTTCTGAACTCAAGGAAAGATGAAAAGCCTCCTTCTGGTAGCTTACTTCCTTTTCTTGCCTATTCCCATCACACCCCCCAAACACACTGTCACATCAGTTACACCGTCTATCAGAACTGAGGGGATAGGAGATTAATTTCAAAAGGAAAGCTATGGACTTCTGTGGTCAAACCAGCATCTCTCCCCATCACCAGTCTCCAAGTGTCTATATTTGGTTTCTTGGGACTTACACCAGGTAGAAGTTGAAGGTCATACCCCCAAGTGTGGAGCGGATGTGCAGGTCTCCAGGTCTACTGGAGCCTCTCCATTAGGTGAGCTCTGAGATCTTCATCACTTTGAGAAACACACCACATGCTTCCCAATGAACCAAAATAATAATAATAATAAATCAAGTACCACAAGAAAGCAAGGTTTGGGAGCCTGTGCGGTGCCTCAGCTTGAGGACCTGAGTTCAGTCCCTGGAATTCATGTGGAAGAAAAAGGGAGGCAACTCCCACACATGGCTGACCACACATGCTACTCGGCATACGTGTACACGTACGTACACACACACACACACACACACACACACACACACACTAATGTTTAAAAAATCTTTAAGAATAGCAGGTTCGGTTACTCTCAAATATAAGTCATAAGTCTGCAGTGCCAGTTACTCAGGGGCACCTGTAGTCAAGAACAGTGTCTTCAACTTGGCAGACCACAAACTGGTATCCTCCGAGAAACCATTGAAAAGCCCATTCTTCCCCAAAACGAATTGACTTCACTTATCAAACTGGCCAGGACGTTGCTAATGTGCGTAGCCGCTGTCTGTATGGACCGAGGAGTAGATAGACATCACACATCAAATGACACTTGTGGAGATCTAATTTGAGGGGAAGGTATAAAACCTGTAATCTTAGAAGGCATTTTGAACCTCAAGATGAAACAGCTTGTTTTGATGCAAATGGCTGTGTGTGTTTGCGTGCTTGTGTGTCTGTGTGTGTGTGTGTGTGAGAGAGAGAGAGAGAGAGAGAGAGAGAAAGAGAGAGAGATAAAGAGAGAGAGATTTCCCAGTTTTGTCCCTTCCATCATTAAACTTGTGTAGTCTGCAGCATTAATGCCTTGTTTGATGAAACCAGGTGTTTTTGCTTATTCTACCTGATGAATTCAGTAAACAACACTAATCAAATGATGCCCCCACCCCACCCCAGTGAGCTCTGTCGCAAGACATTCAGCCACATTTTCCAGGGGTGCCTACGGTGCGGTGTGAGAACTCCACTGCTCCCGGCTTCTGGGTGTCATTCCGCTCTAGCCAGGCTACAACCCTAGTGACCGGGCTGTATGCCTTCCCTAAGGAGCTCAAGTTCAACTCCGGAGCCACGGTGGGTGCTCCCTCTGCAGGAGAGGACCCCCGAACGCGTAGCGCCTCGCCAGGGTCCCTCCACCTGTCCGCGATGCGCCGGACCCCGCGCCCACTCACTTTGCCGCTGTCGCTCACTCCGAGGAGGTGATCGCGAAGCACCTCCATGGGGCAGGTCCATGTGGAGTGGACGAAAGTCCCTCGGAAGATAAGCGCCAGCGGCGGCGTCCGAGCCGTACACATGGCAGCGGCGGGGCAGCGCGAGCCCACGGGTCGGGTCGACGGGTCGAGGAGGGCGCACCCGGGCGGGCGGGCGGGCGCTGAGCGGTCCCTGCGGCTGCTGCGGAGCGGGAGCTGCTGGGGCTTCGGGTTCGTCCTGCCCCCTGCTTCACCGGGCAATCGCCTGCCCGCTGCAGGCCGCGCCCAGGGGCTGGCTCCCTGCCTCCTGGATGCCAATAGGATTTTTTCTCCCGCGAGTTGGCTCCGGCTCCCGTGGGGTGTGGTTTTCCTCCCCACCCCTGCGTTGGTTTTGGATGTTGTTAACTCCTTGAGTTATTGAAACCTAGCCGCTCTACCTTGCTCTCCATGTACACCTAGGCTGTCTTCTCCGAGCCGTCTGTACCTCTTAGGGCTATTCATGGCCTCAAGTTGAGCGCCAGGTTCTGAGGCGCAAGGACAGGTGAAAGGTCAGTTGGAGCTGTACACCTTGTGGTCGGGTTCCTTTCCCCAGTCTGCTTGGCTTACAGGAAAGGCCCAGGGAACTTCCCCGCCGAGGGTTAATCTGTACCTCAAAGCCCCTCTCTTCCACTGAAGTCAATACTTTGGTCCTTGTGCCCACCCACATACAATATCAAGGCCCACTTTTCTTGTATCTAAGGTGCATGATTTCATTTATTCAGTTTATACAAGAGGAGAAAGTGAGGTTCCCAGCAGCTACGAGCTGGAGTGCAAAGGTAGGACTCCAAGGACCCTCTGCCAGCTACGAGCCTGAGGTACTCAACATCTCTCTGGTGAGAACAGAACATGGGCCGAGCTGCTGCAAAGCCTGTCCAGGTTCCACCCCCAGGACTTACTACCTGCAGGCAGGACCTTCTGGTTGCCTTCAGAGTGTGGGTCCCAGGTCCTCTCTGCTGCTCCCCACAGTAATGGGCTTCCTGGGAACCTGGAGGGGGCAGCTCCCTTGTCTTTGCTTTGCCTCAAATGGTAACTTCATGCGGTGACTGTCCCTGCCCAAGAGTTAGCCAACCCCCACCCAGAATTTTCCATTCCTCGAATCCATCCTTTTCCTGCTGCTACTTCAATGGTTGTATCCATCCTTATGAATGTCTTTTTTTTTTCGTTTGCTTGTTACCATTTCTTTTAAATGATAATATTTTATTTCTTTGAGAACTTCATACAAAATGTTTTGACCATATTTGTCAACTACCCAATTCTTCCACATCCACCCACACCCCACCCTCTCTTTTCCCGTTATGTCTAATTACTGTTGCTACATGTATACACATACATAAAAATGTAAGCATAACTTGTTGAGTCCATTTAGTGTTGTTGCTCATATGTGTATGTTTTTAGGAGCGACCGTTTGGTACTGGCTAACTAATTACAGGGCTCATCCCTGGAGAAGACTGACTCTCCCTCTCTGTACCCACTAACAGCCTGTAGCTCTTCATCTAGAGGAGAGCCTTCATGGGATCCCCCCATCCAAGCTTGCTTCTCAACTGATGTTATTGTTCAGGCCTCGTGTGGGCTACTACATTGTTGAGATCTCATGAACACAGCCTTTCTGTGTTCATGAAAGCAGACACTTTGCTCCTCTGGCTCTTAAAAATCTTCCCACCCCCTCTCTCCTTTGTGTTACCCGAGCCATCGGTATGAGAGCCATGTTGTGGATGGATCAGCCAGGGCTGGACACCCCATCATCAGTTGTTCTTTGCATTGTGGTCGGTTGGTGGATTTCTGTAATGGTCTCTATCTGCTTCAAGAAGAAACTTCTTTGATCAGAGGTGAGAGCTACGCTTGTCTGTGGATATGAGGGTAAAATATTTAGGATGTAGATCAAATTTTTACTGGCTTAGTAAAGCAGCAATCATAGATTCTCCTCTAGCGTCCATGGCAATGGTTATTTGGCTAGTATCAAGCCTGAATTCCCTCATATTGAATGATCCTTAAGTACAATTAGACAGCTGTGGGTTACCTCCAAAATGTAAGTGCCATTATTGTACCTTTAGGCCTATCTTGCCATACTGGTCATGGTTGGAGTTTGTAGGTATTGAAGCTGGATAGGACTGTTGACTGAGTTTTCTCCCTTGGCAGCTTGCACAGCACCTTGTGGTCCTAGGAGAGCCAGTCCTTAAAGAGGCTTCCAGGTCAATCCCAGCTTGATTCTTTTCAACTCCTGTGACTGAACTGTGTGGTGTCTTTAGCAACAGGAACTTAACTTCAGATCTGGGAAGCAGCCCATAACAATGCAATAGGCTTTACTGTTTCTGTTTTTTTTATGAGGGGGGTCTCTTGGAAAGAGATTTCTCATGCACTGTAGTTTACTTCCATTTCTACCACCCATAAGCATGTGTACTGGTGCACATAAACAGAAATGCTAGGAGAACAAAGGAACTGTCCAATCCTTGAACAATGACTGATGTTCTTGCACGTTTATTAAGTGAACGAATGTACTTTCTTTTTCTTGTAAGCGAAGCAGCAATGAAGACACATAAATACTTTGAGTTCTGTATAAAGGGTGGGGCCTCACTGCAGCACATAAGCTGGTTTCCTTGGAACTGTTTTTATGACACAATCATGGCTTACATTTAAATGATTAATTCATTCCCTTCCCAGTCCCTTAACTTCCTCTTCATCAAGGTCTACAGTTACCAACTCATCCCAACTTACACTGAATTTCCTGGTTTTAACTCCTAATGTCTCAAGATTTTAGACAACTCAATGCCAGGCACATAGAGATGGCTGCACCCTGCCATAGAATTCAAAATTCTCCAGGCTGCACTATTTACGCATACTTCTTGGAGATTTCAGCCATGTCACCGTTACTTTCTCTTGATTCTGCAAGCCAGCTGTATCCTTGTGTCCTATTACCTAGTATACTGGAAACATTTCCTTAACCTAAGTTTGCCTAAACACAAACCTCAACAGGAGAGATGCAGAGAATGTCTGGATGTAGTATGGAAAGGCGTAAATGTTTCCAGCTGGTGTACTTGTCCCCTAAATCAGATAGAATTAATCAGTTTCTTAATGAAAGCATCCTCAGTTCTAACAGTTGAGACAGATTTGTGGATTAACACATAATATACACTGGAACTGGGCACAAGGACACAGGCCTGCAATCCCAGCTACTGGGAAGCCAAGACAGGAGGATCCCTTGAGCTCCTCACTTCAAGACCAATCTAAGTACAATGTATTGTGCGATTATTAAAATAACAGGTGAATATGGAAACACATGCGAAGCATAATTCCATATTAAGTCTTTAAAATTCTATCTGTGCTATAATTCAGGTCATGAAGGGATATGGGCACATAGAATTAAGAAACATCCGAATGATGGAAATTGTTCCGTTGAGATAATAGAATCAACATAGAATTTTGTTGTGATGCTCATTCATATTATTATTGTGTGCTTAATAGAATATGAATAAGCATTGGGTAGCTTTATGCACAGTGAGATCACAGCAATGACATGGGCCCCTGGGCAACATGGGTTAGCATACTACAAGAGTTAAGTGTTAGTTCCTTTGAGCAATGCATGGTTCTGTTCTATTCCCAGTCAAGTTGTTGGCACACAGGCTCAGGATTCAGAAACCCAAGAACCAATCCAGAAGTCGTGATCTTCCCACTCATTTCTGACTCCCCACCCCCAGATTTGGGGGCTCCCTGCAATTTTGGATCTCATCCTGGTGTCTCTGAAGAAAAATTCTCCAGGATGCTGAGGTCTGGAGGAAGAAAGGAGTACAAAAATATTCTACTTGCCTTCAGAGCATAGTCTTAGCATCTCCAGGGTCTGAGCTCCTGTGCAGTCTGTTTTTATGTTAATGTGACACAGGCTAGAATCATTTGGGATGCAGGAACCTTAGCTGAGAAAAATGCCCTCACCAAACTGGCCTGTGGGAAAGTCTATTTGGTTTTTATGTTTTTTGTTTTTGTTTGTTTTGGTTTGGTTTTGGTTTTGGTTTTTTAATCAATGATTGATGTGGGAGGGCCCGTCGCACTATGGTTGATGCCCTGGGTACTTGGGATGTATAAGAAAGCAAACTGAGCAAGCCATGAAGAGCAAGCCAGTAAGCAATGTTCCTTCATGGCTCTGCTTCAGTTCCTGCTGTCAGGGTCCTTCCCTGACTTTTTTTGATAATGGACTGTGATGTGGAACCACAAACCCTTTATTCCACAAATTGCTTTTTGTCTCAGTGTTTTTTATTTGGCTTTGTTTTTTGTTTTTACAACAATAGAAACCTAACAGTGCCACATTTCACTTTTTTTCAGAAAAAAAAAAAAAAGAAAAAAAACCCTCTGCATTGGCAAGGAACATTCCTGAGGTAGCCACTGGTCACTTCTTCAGACTCATTTCCCTTCCTCCTCCCACAGATCATGGGTCTGTCATATTTCCCCTGCCTTTTGCACCCTTTTGATAGTTGGCATCATGCCTGAGTTTCTCCTGACTCCACATCTTCTGCTGACTTATCCACCCAACCCTACCCTGTTCCAGGGCATCTGTATATCTCTGCTCTCTCAGACGTTAAAGATTTCTCTGGGATGTCATGTTTCTTTACTTGCTACCTTCATAAGATTGTGTTTACCAAGGACCACATCTCTTCCCTTCCTTCCTTTCTACTGATCTCCTTTAAATAGTGGCTGGTCAATATGAAGTGTTCAGAAGGTTATGGATGTGGATATGGAATTCCTACAGAAGGTTCTATTGCCCACACTGTGCTCACTAAATGCTAACAGGCAAAGTAGTGGGTTCAGGCTAATGGTGGGGGACTCATCGGGACTACCACCTAAGACACACCTGGATCTCGTTCATTCATTTTTTTATTGTTTCATAATAAAAATATTTCAAACACATAAGAAATGAAAATGCCTCATTTCCCAAGATCACAATTCTCCTTAATTGACATGGATCCAGAAATTTCCCCCCAATTCTTCAAATGCTGGTTGGTTTTTGAATGTTTTCTAAGCCTTTAAACTGTGGAGGTAAAGTACTAGATTGAAACATAATCAGTTGTGACATCTGGTTATCTGATTATCTCTGCAGCTTCCTTCGGCAAGCTAGAGCCTGACATTTGGAAAGC